AGTTCTATGGAAACGATTCTTTAGTCATTTCAATCATTTTTGCACTTATTGGTCTGGTAAATTCTCTGTGTGGGATGCACGCATTAGTCATAGATATGTAATAAGCAGGTCAATTGGACGGAGTGTAGCAAACCACCAATTGGGCAAAAATGAAATCTGAATCAATAGAACTTAACTTTTTATTCCCAATATAAAGAGTATTTTACTCTCCGCATCACTGACTTGACACAATGGTACAGTGGCAACCTTCTCTTACCACTGACCTCCTTTGTCAGGTTCTGTGTCTGTTTTAGAAGCTCTTCTGCTCAGTTTACCTCATTCTTTCACATCATGTGCTTTAATGAATGAGGCTAAGGCTGCTGTATTCATACCTCCTAAATGCCCTGTAAATGCCCCTATTCCCTTGCTTTTATCTGGTAGGACTTACTCAGTAGGAAACCAGAAATACTGTAACATGGTGAGCATAATGTTTGCCTGAATGAACCAGGTTCCAATTATTTCTTTAGTTGCTTAATTTATACATATTATTGATAGGAAAATGAAAATCGAAATGGACAGACTTGTTAAATCGCTCAAAGGTAAAGGGACAAAATTAGGATGACATGCTTGAGCCCACTCCCCCTCCCACCACACACACACACACACACACACACACAGGTTTGTAATTATATCTTTGTGGGGACTCCAGTCATTTCTGTGGGGTAAAATCTAATCCCGACATGACGACCTTAACCCCTGCCCAGTCCTAACCTTACTGATAAGTAACCAAACTAAATACGAGACTTGAGGCATTTTTGCTTTTTGATAGCATTCAAAAGATTACAGATCTTTGTGGGGACCTGAATAGCAAGTTTTATGACATTGTGGGGACATTTGCTCCCTCCAATGTAATATAAACCTAATCTACACACACCAACCACCTAAAGTTTATCAGAATGAATCTTCCATTAATATTCGTAAACAGCAGAGTCACGTCCTGCTCACCACATCCACCTGGGCCTTCGGTCTCCTCCTTGTCGTGGCCCTAACAAGCCACCCGTTCTTCATTTGTCTTGCCTCTCATTCTGATCCCTGATGTTAATCACTCCCAGCTGCCTCTCGTTACCTCCCTCATTAGTCCAGTGTTTCCCAGTCCCGTGTTCCCCATTACAGTCATTGATATTGTAACTTCCTGTTGCCTGTTGCCCTCCCTAATGTCCAGTCCTCCTATTTCGCAGTCTGGTGCATTTTCATACCCTGTCCATTGAAAATCAAATAAACCTTCTATTTTGATAGAATGCCAGCCCTGAAGTCCTTTGCGTGACTCCTCTACCCCTGTTCTATGTCCCTCCCCCCCCTGGCGTGTCCCCTACTCCCCTCCTCTACCCCCTCCCTCACAGTGTGTCCCCTGCTCCCCTCCTCTATCCCCCCCCCCCGGCGTGTCCCCTCCTCTATCCCCCCCGCGTGTCCCCTCCTCCCTTCCTCTATCCCCCCCCTGGCATATCCCATGCTCAGGCTCTCCTGTTTGGCCCAGCCTGCACCTCCGCACTGCCACACTAAAGCATCCCTTCCTCTCCCCTGTGTCACCTTGCCACCTGACTCAGCTAGTCCTTTTGGGTCCGTCTGTCCGCCCCAGCATTAGTCTCTGTCACTCTCACAGTGCTGCTGGCATTGTCCTCTTCATGTGTGTTTTTATTTTTAACTTTTTTTTTTTTTACTCTACCTGGGAGCTTCCTTCTAAACCTTGTGTGTCAGCTACATTCCTGTTCCATGTTCCTCAGCATGTGCGTTTATCCACATACAAACATCTGTGTTTGTCGACTGCTCTGTCTGGCTTCATCCAAGTTTCATCTTGACTCTTATTGGCTTTTCTCTTCATCCCACTAACTGTCTGGGAATGTGTGTCTGTATCTTTCTTTGTGGGTCATCTTCACTTTGATTTTTACCTTAGTTCTCTCCTCGGTCATGACTTCTTGGTTATCTGGCACACGTTTCTTCATGCTGAAAACTTTGGTCTGCTAATAATAACAAAGTTATTTATCTAACACCTAATTTCACCTTTTGGGTAGGAGAAATCACTCAGAATGGGCACTCGTGCTCCTTAGGTGTGCTTGCCTGTCATCCTACCTGACCAAAACCCAGTGGTTACCGCTAACTAGCTGGGCAGTACAGCAGGGATAAAAGCACAGTACAGCAGGAATAAAGGCACAGTACAGCAGGAATAAAGGCACAGTACAGCAGGAATAAAGGCACAGTACAGCAGGCGTGCAGGTTAGTCACCAGGCAGGCCAAAGGCCACTATAATCCCCGCCCTTATGTCATCCTCTGTGAGGTAACAATAAGTCTTGATTACCTTCTACCCCTTTCCATCCTTCCATTTATCTCCCACTAGCTGCCATTCTTCTGTTGTTAAGTTCCATCACCTTTGATCTTTGTCCACACCTCCCCCCTCCCCCCCCACGTGCCTGGCCCCCACCCCCACTTACTGGCTGTCATCTGGACACATAACACCCACCTCTTCCTTCTGGAAAGAAAATGTAAAAATAAATTGCTTCAACTGTATAATCTAGAGAAGGAGTGAGAGAGAGGGAGAGAAGAAAATAAAAAAAGGTTTCCATAGAAACTATTGGCCTGCATATATTTTCCAATAACATCTTGGGTAGTTCTAAACCAAGACACAATTTTTTTTCCCTGTAACTGAAAATAATTTCAAGAACTGATTGGTTATAAATATCAGTCATAAATATGCAGCAGAAATGTCTGCATTTGTACACAAATTTCCACAAGCAGCTAATTTTGCTGTTTTATATATTAAGAAAGCTGACGAAAAGTTACCGCCCCCTATATATAAAGGTAGATCTGAGTTTTCAGTATTTACACTGTCAGACGGTACTATTCAGCAGGGTGATTTATGATGTTGAAATAAGTTTTCCTGAGAGGTGTGTGTAATCAGTGCAGTAAGAGAGTAGCAGAGACTAGATCAAAAGAAACTACAAAAGATCACAGGAGATTCAAGTTTACATGCCTGAGCTGCTGGACTGGCTGGTCAATTTGGATAAAAGCCCCTCCAGGCAAGAAAATAATGATGTAACTGTTCTTTACACCTTATAGACAGAGGAAAGGATTTCCTTGGAAGCTTCCTTTAGGCCCAGTGCAGAGAAAGGAATGATTGATAGAAAATAAGGAAAAAGGACTGATCTCAGGGCTGGATGATCAAGCTTTTCAGGGAGGGGTCCACTTTAAACAGCTGGCATATTCGCTGATTAGACCTCTGACCGTATTAAGCGAGGGAGACAAACAGGGATGGGCTGTGTATTTTTATTTTTTAAAATGTGCTTGGAGGCTAACTGGCTTTGACAGTGAGGCAGGGTGCAGCTGGAGAGATAAGGGCCCAGAAGCAGAGCTGAGACTGTGGGGGGGGGAGGGGGGGGCGAGATGCTGCCGGCCGCATGGAGCTGGGATGGTGTCACCCTTGTGAGGACACCGATGCACATTAAGCCCTGTGGGTTTTCACGTGGGCCTCAGCGTGCAAAAATAATTGGGCGTGTGGTGAACTCTCACGCTGGGGCGTGCGACTTAACACGAGACACGGGCAACCCTGAAGCGACAGTCACAGAAACACAAACTTTGCTCATTTCGGCAAAACAGTCATTTGCAAACTGTTTTCCTCTTAAACAATCATATACAGTAATGAAAACATTAAACAGTAATTTCAAATAATTGGACTGACCCAATGGGTAGTACTGTAACCTGTCAGTTGTAGGGTTGGGTATTTCAGTGCTGCCCCTGCGTACCAGTGGAGTTTGGGGGGGGGCAGTAGGGGCAAAGTGTGGGACCTTCTTGGACGATCCTCACAATATTCTCTCTGTACGCATCAGGGAGAGGGGGGGGGGGGTTCTGGTAGGTACCCACTTTTCCTCCCAAATTCCAAAAACCATGCGGTTCGCTAAAGAGGCATTTTTAAGTTGCCCAGAAATGGACTGACATCCCAGTTCATGTACTCGCTGCTTCCTGCAGTAGCTCCAAACTCATCATGACCTCATGATGTGGATGGATGGATGGATGGATGGATGGATGGTCCTTTGGGCACAGTACTGCAGTGGTGTCATCAGGAGGAACTCGCCAGTTCTGTACATCAAGGTCATCGCATTGCTGGAAATAACGACAACAACAATAATAATAATTATAATATTTTTTTCAAGTGCTCCATTTATACATATATATGGGATATACAGTGTGTATATATATATATATCATGATTTATGATTGCACAAAGGTGTCTGAAATTGAACTATTTACAACAACAAATGACAACAACAGTAAAATGCATCTTTGTACAACCGGTACAATTTTAATGTGGAGTCTTAAAAAAATAAATAACTTCTTTTGGCCTTTTTAAACACAGGACTCGATGTCTGTTTGCAATCTTGATCTATTTGGGACACTTACGGGTTCTTCCAATTATGGTGTTCCTACACAACAAAGGACGGAGATATTTCATGGGTTAAAATAGCTGATGGATTGTAAACCAGGGTACAGACTTCAGGTCATGTGTCTTTTTCTAAATTAAGCATGTTCCCCAGCCTAGAAATGAATAACTGAATGAAATGTATCTTCAGGGCCAAATTGTACAGGTAAGCAGAGACAACAGTAAATGGAACAACCGCAGATTTGACCACTGAACATAATTCAAATAGTTATAAATTAAAAACCACTAACCATTTTTTATGCTGCACAGGTGTCAGCCGGTGCTGTCTGAATGTGTCCTGGCTGTGCTGCCTAAGGGCGCAAATAAGCATCGACACACCAATATATTAAACAAGACAGACTTCGCACTGGTGGAGAAACCCACTACATGTGTGCCAATGGAAAGTGCCCAGGCACAAATGGGAAAGGCACCTACACACACGGCCACACAAATCTACACAAACAGAGACATAATCAAACTGACAGGCTCTCTCTCGCTCACTGCCTCACCCCTCCCTCCCTCCCTCTCTCCCTCACTCTCCCGCACCCACACACTTGCAGAGATGGAGATGGACAGGGGCTTGTGAGAGAGACGAGCGCGAAAGGAAACAGAGGGAGATCGCGGCTTATATGCCAGTGTCATTAAGTAACAATGCAAGGCAAACAAACGGCTGGGATGCGGACAAACGGAAAATAACCAAATAGACAGATTAATACATTTAAATTATTGCACTGGAGCATAATATAAGTCCACCTACCGATCCGAAGACGCTCTGGATCTTACCCTCAGAGTGCACAGGATACCGGTTTCTCATCCTGAGAAGTACTTAGTTGTAGGACCAGCTCTCTCTCTCAAGCGCTGCAGCCACAAAACATTTGGCACTGTGGAGGTAAGTTCATGATGTTCACTTCTTGATGTCCGGTCCTCTGTCAGTCTAAGTTTATATATCTTTCATCATCGTTGTCATGCTTTCCTATAGTCTGTAAGTGGACTTATTTTAATCCATAACGCGTTGATTTACGCGTATTTGCTTCAAACTTTAAACGTTATTTACTAATATAACTGCATGTAGAATATTATAACTAACTCCAGCCGACGTCGTTACACAGAACAGCTATTCTGAACCTCTTCATGGTTATATAATTTTACGCCACCAGGAGTCTTGATAAAGTCAGTCACTCGTGTTTAAATACAGTATCTAAAGTATATTAAGATATTTTTCTTTGATTAGCTAGTTGAGGGATGAAGTTGTTATCGTTATTGTACTTTTTGTTTGTGTAAAATACAGTGACATCATTTTATCCTTTGCGCCCTCCTTACAAATAGTTTAATTAGGTGTGTCCATTTTTTAAAATGTATCAAATTATCTCTTTAAATGGGTGACTGTAAAATGCATAGTTTGGTTCGTTGGACAAAGTTTTAAAATGCCTAAACGGAACAATTGCAGCAAATATATGAAAAGTCATGATATTTTTCTTTCATTCATTCACTTGTCCATCTTTCATGAGTGACAGGACGCGGATTTTCCGAACTGAAGTAATATAATTTAGTGTGCCGTACAGGAAATTTCTAGCGGATTTTAAAACGAAGCTCAAAAAAGAACACATGACATAAATAAGTGAAAGAGTAACGAAAAATATATGAAATTGGTTCAAGTGAGACAAAACGATAAATCAGTAAAGCAATTATTTAGGCAACGGTCTTGTTTTTTTAGTTTTTGTGATGCACATAATATAATATTGTGTATATATCTAACATGTAGGCCTATTGTAAAAAAGAAGGTACAACAGTAAAGAACACAAATAAGACACAGGAAAATAGCACGATTAGAGAATCCTTATATCATTACAGGAGAATGAATTCAGACGTCACATTCTGACATCATTTTCGCATGTACATGTTTAAATTAACAGTTTGTTTTGACAGATTTGACCGGAAATTTAAACTGAAAAAGAAGGCAGATAAAGTTATGTGTAACTTTATGGGACTTTGCTGTCCATTTTGATCTTGAGGTTCGGTATGTCTTTTTAATAATTATAGTTTATGCTGAGCAGGTACAGTACTCTGATATCCTTGTTTTGATTTTAATCAGATCAAGGGCGTAACTTTGGTCAGATCATTGAGGAGGTTGAGGTTGATTACTGGGGGGGCTTTATTAGCCAGTTTTGATTAATGGGGGGGGGGGGTTACAAATCCCCCATCCCCCCGTAATTTACGTCCATGAGTCAGATATGACATTTATTATTGGACAATGACAATTAATTATGTAAAATATTAGACTCCATAATTAATTAACAATAAATGATAACAATAATAATTTGTAACATATCCGTGTTGCTAGAACTAAAGGGCAAGAAATAGGCTTTACATTATGAGGCTTTACGTTTTTCATTTTTTGACTATAGTGAGTCTTTTTATTATTCTATCTCTAAGTAATGAGAGGCCAAAATCTCCTCTTTAAATAATAAGTGAGCTTGTAAGTTCAGCAGTAAAAGAGTCAAAAAAGATTAAACTGATGACAAGCCCTCTTAGTTGGCCGCCAGGGCAGGGCTAAGATGTCCGTTACTGAAGTTTGTCTCCTTAATTATGCTGGACAAGGCCTTACTTAACGTTCCCATTGAGTCACAGGGGAGTCGTTGATTTTCCTGCTTCTGTCGTTCAGACTTGAAGGCGGGGTCATCAGGCGCTTTAACTCGATTGGAAACGTTGCTCATCACACTGGTTCGCCAAAATACCGCAAGTGGGCTAATGGTGGAGCCACCCCACAGAGGTTTAAGGGAAGCACGCCGAAGTCGTCCGCTGATTGGAGTCAGTTTCCGGTCCCTTCTCCGATAAATACTGGAGGTGTCTCCAGTCGGGAGCAACTTCAATGCCCCATGAAGCCAAAGCGAACATGCGGTGGAGGACATGCGGCATGCAGCATGCGACATGCGGTGATGCAGTCGCTCACGTGGTCATGAACGGAAACAAGATCCATGTTCTGGGGGGAAATGGAGCTGAAAGATCCATGCAAAACCGGGGTTGAGGAATCACTAAGCCAGCTGGGCAACAAGTGTAAGGCGGGAGTGAAAAATGAGCTGCTAATTACGGGATTTCCTGTGCGCATCATTAAGCAGCAGTGCAAACGGTGTCATAAGCCACATGAAGAGAGATAATGACAGGAGCAGGATTAGAAGGAGAACCGGGTCACTATGTCACATCTCCCCATTTACGGATTATACACCTCACCCCTCCCTGGAAATTTACCAGCTCCGCGAATTGTACCCGTAGCCATAAAGAGGGCATCTTTCAATTCTGAGAAAAATAGATAATAATCTAGTTAAATACTGACAGCAGAGGTCATGGTTATAAATCTCGCAACTGATCAATAACAGGTCAGTGACATAATGAAGACCAAGTTAAAGTAAAGAAAGATTCCTGGAAAGATTCTGTGCCGTATGCAGAATTTCAGCACTGTGAACTGGACAGTTCCACCGTCTTTTTTTGCCAATCAGCAGACTAAATTTAAACCGCGCCACAATTGTACCTCCATATGTGATTTCTGGACCAACTCAATGGCCAAAAGTTCTTATTATTCTTATTTTAAATGGCATGCAGTCTCCATTGCTCTGGGCACTTCCTTGTGCTTTGGCTAAATGTAGGGAACCTCCCATGGTCTCCTGCGTAGGGACAGTGACATTGAAACGGTACCTGCCCAGGCCGGGTGGGTGGAGGGGGCGGGCGTGTGGGGGCAGGGATTAGGGTTGAGTGTAGCTCCTGCCAGGTTGCCTTTCAGGGACAGACTCGTCTGTTGAGGACCTTCTTAGAGCCACAAGGCTCCAAGGCTGCAGTCAAAACGTGCTGGATGTACTGAATGTGTTCATAAACACTGTTTTTCTGGCTCTGTGTATGCAAAGACTGATGGGTACACACAGTCAGAGCCTCACTTGATGCTTGTCCATCTCCAAAACGATCCCCCTTGCTACAATTTCTTTATTTTGCTTTTACTCAAAGCAACATAGGATTGAAAGTACAATTGTATGGTCAGACCGTCCCCGGAGCAATTGGTGATTAAGGACCTTGTCCTAAGGGTCCAACAGCAAAATCACACTGTTGACTGTGGAATTTAAGCCAGTGAACGTCTGATCACCGACACAGCATCCTAACTCGCTGGGCTACACAGCGCCCCCTACAGCACAAGGGCGATGTCACACTCTACTGTAAATACCTCAAGGTTCTTTCTTTTTTTGTTGGCGGCAGCGAGGGGGGGGGCTGGGCACGCCCAAACTGCGAAGACCCTCCACACGTACAGGCACAGCAAATGTTTGCCACCTTCTCCTGTCCCTCACTCTGTCAGTTTAGGGTCACCAAGCACGGTGACGTGACTGACGTGACGTGTCAGAGATGAGTCAGCGTTATCAAATACTCGAGAATGTGTACAAAATCGCAAAAGTCTGAAAAGTGAATAATAAATTAGCTATGTTATATATTATTATTATTATTATTATTTATTATTATTATTATTATTATTATTATTATTATTATTATTTAGCAGCATTATAATTATGTGTGATTTATTCATTCTTTAAAAAGTTTGCGGTTTATTCATTCTGAAGTTTACCATTTTCCAGGATTATCTTGTTAAAAATAAAGAAATCGCCATTCACAGTAACTACCCAAGGCACAGGCTATTAAATGTCATTGTATGCTACAGCAGCTGAACTATCTCTTCCCGTTAATTTAATTTCAGTTAGAAATTTGACTAGTATTTCTGTCAGAAATGCCCATCCCAAATTGAGATCCACCTTTTGTGTCGTGTCTGTGATTACAGATCGGGACGCTGTTGGTGTGCCCTTAGGAAACGGACATATTTGCTTGTTAAATACAGTCTTCTTTAACAAATGATAAACACAGCATTCCACATTGTCATGCCTTTCTTGAATAAATGGGTTAAACATTCATTTACATTTACATTTATGGCATTTGGCGGACGCCCTTAGCCAGAGTGACTTACATAAGTGCTTAGGAGTCTCACCAGTGAATACATTCTGATACTGGTTCAATAGAAACCAGCATTTAAATATTCAAAGACATGCATGGAAAAAGTATGCAAACCCCTATATTTATTGTAATTTTAGTTATCAGCAATAAACTCAAACACTTTCGGTAGCTGCTGATCAGACCCTGGGCAATATAGTTAGACGGTATTCTGGCCTATTCCTCTGTATATGGTTGCTTAGTTAAAGTATGTTTTTGAAGTGTCTTCCTTGAATGGCCTGCTTCACACAACACCAGGGAACTTCACCATGATTGAGGTCAGGCCATTATAAAATGTGAAGTTGATCTGGTGTCACACCATTGCACTCCCTCCGCCATGCTTTGGCTGTTGACTGATCTGTCCGCAAAGCATTGTCCTGCATGGCAGCGCTGTGGAACATCTGGGTGGTCTTCATCAAGCACCACCATTATATTTCTCCTCCGTCATAACCTCCCATGATCAACATGATCTTCTTCAGTTTTTTTTTATGATAGACCGATGAACACAGAATTGAGACATGCCTGCAGGTCCTTGTTTTCTTCGGGTTTTTCGTTATTTTTTTGAGGATTCTACGGCATGCCCTCGCATTGATATATGTAGCATCCCCACTCCTAGGGAGAGTAACCGTGGCGTTTTTGTCCAATCCCCCTGACTGTGGACTTAATGGAAGGCAGCGGTCATTAAAAAGCCCTTTCCAATCATAGGACCTTCTGTAACATTTCTTCTGAGGTCCTGTGAAATCTCTTTTGGTCAGGCCATATTACACTGCTGCAAAGGGCAGATAATCCAAAATTGTATGTTTTTCTTATATAACCGTGCAGGTCAAAAGCGAACCTGAATTTACTGGAATATCTGACTCCAATTACTCTCCC